AAATTCAACATATCTACTCATTAAAAATGAGGCAACAGATTACAAGCAATATTAATAATTAAATTTTACAATGTTTGGAATTAAGTAAATATTAATTGAACAAAACTCTTAATAGTTATTCATTTGAAATAAATAGATCTGAATACAAAACAGTGCAGAATTAATTAAAACCTACACAAAAATATTGAGTGAAATGAAAAACAAAAAACTTCTCAATGTGTAAATACTACTAATAAAAAATGATTTAATTCTAAATGTAATGTTCATTCATTTTCTGTACACGCTTCTTCCTTTCAGGGTCACAGGGGTCACTGGTGCCCATATTCAGCAGTCACAGTGTGAGGGGTGGGGTACACCCTGGACAGGTCTCCAGTCCATCACAGGGATATACATAGAGACAAACAACCATTCACTCTCTCACTCACACCTAGGGACAATTTAGAGTTATCAATTAACCTAACAGTCATGTTTTTGGTCTGTGAGAGGAAGCTGGAGTGCCTGGAGAAAACCCACGCATGCACGGAGAGAACATGCAAACTCTACCCCGAAACGTCCCCGGGCCGGGATTTGAACCAGTGATCTTCTTGCTGAGAGGCATCCGCTAACTGAGCTACCATGCCACTTAAGTGTAATGTAATTGACTAATAATAATCTACATTAATCTGTAAATTGATTTGAATTTAATCAATGAGATAAATTGAGTGTAAATATTCTTTTTTCTTAGAAATTACTAGTCCATTTAATCTGAATTAATTTGCTTTGAAACTGTATTTTGTAACCAAAATTCAGTTTGGCTACTTTCACTTTCAGTTCTATAATTACRCTTCAGTTTCAAAATTCAGATTTTTGTGTTTAAGCCAGCGAGAGTAATCAAACACAGATTTACGGTTCAGGTCAGTGAAACTTCATTTCCATAATGTACATGCTGTAGTGGTCAGTATGTAGTGATTAGTACACCTACACTTCTTAGAACAAACTTTATTATAAGGAAATTCATGGGTTCYTCTTATTTTCGGTAGATATCTCTTCCGTGCAAAAATGAATGGACAAAACACACAATAAGATGAGCGTACTCAGTGAATTTAAGTTGATCAAAAGTAAACGAGATCATTTGTTTATTTACAGAATCAAAAAAAAAATCACTAATATACAGCATATTGTGAGTTTAATTTCCTATAAAAAGTTTAACAACAAACTTTGAGGTTCAGATGTTAATAAACCATTTGTTTGCGGCCCCTTTTCCTAAGTTTTGGCAGGGCATTGGTTTAAGAAGAGGAATTAAGGAAAGAAAGGAGGAGGAAGAGGATTAGTTAGTTTTAACTTTATCATTTAAAGAATTGTGGATTTTAACMAGAAAGGGCAGACGTCTCTCAATGGATACAGCCAGGCCTCAGGTACGCTCAGTAACAAACAGCCATTACCTTGACCGGGGATAGTTTCACCACCACAACTCAAGTCAGAGGAAAGATTGTCCAGTTGGTGAAKAACTTCTTCGAACCTCATCCAGTTGGACACTTTCAAGGCATGTTTACATTACTCTTCAGTGTCATCTGGGCTGCTTTCAATCGAAGATCAAAGACGAAGCACTTCTAGGTATCCGTCTAAAATAGAATACTTCCGCYATGGAAGTTTCAAAACAAACGTTTCTCTGTGAGTAACTTTGGTAAGCTCAAAATAGACGAGACCGAGTGGTGGTCTGGTYCAGACTGAGAGGTTGTCTTTGACTCACTGGGCTAAACCTCACAGCCAAACGCTGGATCTCCTCTTCGGAGAGCCAGCTGCGTCCTTGTGAAGCACGACAGTWTTCGCTTTCCAACTCAACTCAMCTGTACTGCTGTTRGTTCAGACCAAATATATTAATTTAAAAGTAGGAAGATTAGTGAAGGACTGCCAGGTGTTTTACTTAAACAAAAATTGTTGATGTCTGCGCAGTTGTATAGCTCATTCTGACCTGCTCTCTCCTGAGAGCACTTAAAAGAACAAAAGAATTATTTACTGAAAAYTTAAAAATGAATTATTTCATATAAAAACATTCATTATGATGATTCAGACAAAAATAATTATATAATGTTTCATAATAAAGCTTAACCATAACGCTGAGTTTAGTTAAGTGAAATATTTAAACTTAAAAATCCATAATCAATTACTGTGGTTTCACAGTTAAAGTTCAATCARTGATTTACATCAAAGCACAATAAAACATTGTAAATCATTCTTTTTGTGTTTTCTTTTTATACATWGATAAAATTATGAAAAAGAAGGTTATTCTGTTTATTATCTGATTAATAATAAGAAAATGTCTCCTTACTGTTTAAGAAAACATGTTATGGCTTTACCTTGAACAGAGTTCTGTCTCTCTGAAGGAGGCCTTCTGAAACCAAGGTCAAAGACATGTGGAACTGTTTGTTCCATCCCCTAGGTGACCACTACACGTGCACTGTACATTCATGTACTTGTTCTGTGTTCAAGGTAAAAGATGTTAAATTATTCTGAACTGAGTACCACAGTGATATGCAGTCGCAAATAGAGCCAGCTTCATCAACCCCCAAGGAGCTCTGAAAACATCYATCCATTTTCTGTACACGCTTCTTCCTTTTCAGGGTTGCGTGGGTCACTGGTGCCCATATCCAGCAGTCACAGTGCAAGGGGCAGGGTACACCCTGGACAGGTCGCAAGTCTATCACAGGGCCACACATAGAGACAAGCGAAACAAACAACCATTCACTCTCTCACTCACTCACACCTAGGGACAATTTAGAGTTATCAATTAACCTAACAGTCATGTTTTTGGTCTGTGGGAGGAAGCTGGAGTACCCGGAGAGAACCCACGCATGCACGGAGAGAACATGCAAACTCTACCCAGAAAGGTCCCCGGACCAGGATTTGAACCAGTGACCTTCTTGCTGAGAGGCATCAGCTCTACCAACTGAGCCACCGTGCCGCCTAATATTTCCAGTACTGCTGATTTTGACACATTTGGGGAGTTCTCTCTCTGAAAGCATTGAGAGTCAAAAAGTTCAAGTCCTGCATCGACCTGGCAAATGGATTTTTCTCACTCAGACTGGCCCGACAATCGCAAGGTAAGACTGCTTTTACTCATAAAGGGAAAAGCTATGTCTAGCAAAGATTACCCCAAGGGTACAGGAACTCCCCAAATGTGTTTCARTCAGCAGTACTGGAAATACTAGGTGACGTCGGAGCCTCAGTC